ATGTCTCTTGAGGCATTGCTTGACAGCTGCCACAGATCCTGATGGGGTAAGCCACAGTTGGAATGTGTGCCAACCCTTATCAGCAGGACTATGGGTGAACATTATCCACATTCTATCTATGGCCATGTTGCCACACAGTCTAAGTCTAGAAGTAAATAATGGAAGCACAAAGCACTTTCTAGGTTCCATATATATATATATCACATAATCATCCTGGAGTAGATACTCGTCGAATGGAATGCACACTTAAAAGCACTCTCCAAAAACTGGCCCCCCCCACCCATATATATATATATAGATGGAATATTGTGATAGATAGGCATACCACACCAATCCAAATATATATATATATATCATATATATATATATATTTATTACACAAAATTATGTGGATGGATGCTGGTGTAAAGCTGCGTACAAAACAGGAGTTAGAATGCTTCCGACCTCCAAACCGCCAGTCAGCAGCCCACACCAGGAAAAATATCTATGACTTACACAAAATTATGTGGATGTAGATTGATATAAACCTGAACAGAAAACACAGGAGTTAGAATGCTTCCGACCTCCAAACCGCCAGTCAGCCAACTGCTCTTCGGTGATGAACCCTCTCGGTAACCAGGCATACCACACCAATCTTCCTGACCTTGGATGCACAGCTGTCATTTGAGACTGAAACTGTTCCCCTGGAAACCAAGGCCAAAAAAGCAAATCCATCTCCCTCCCAAGAAAAAAGGCCAAAGAACTCAAACTTGCCCAATGATTGGAGTGCATAGGCGTCTGCCTGCAGGGAAGTCATAATTGAAGTCTTGGTTGATGGAGTCGACTGAATGGAAAGATCAAGTTCATCGAGCTGCCTCCGGATGTCAAAGCTGGCGCTCCATCGTGCAGCGCAGGCGTTGAATGCATATGTCAGCTGATGCATGTGATGATGCCAGCCGTCGTTTGGCCCTCCGGCCGCGCCCCATCCGCCAGGGATTTGGCAGTTGGGGCTGTCGCCGCAGATGATCTCCTAAGTGGCAATGTTTAGCCTTTTCCATATTTCTATAATACTATGTATATATACAGTAGATAAAAATAATCCGGGGTACCTACTAAACACTACTGGAATTAAATAGGTGGACCGGATTAAACTCTACTGGAATCCAGGAGTATGTACACATAGAATGTCTGTTTGTTGGGCTGACACCAAGGTTCCACGTTGTGCTGACTCATCCAGGCCAACTTAAGGGCCTCAAACTTTTTTGATGAGTGTTGCGTTGCTTGATCGCAGAGCAATAGAGCCCTGTCCTTCAAAGTCAGCTTCAGTTGCCGTCGCCTCTCACGAAGCTCACCCGCATAGAACTCCAGAAAAGCCATCATGGTCTTTGCCGACCATATGTGTGTTTTGGCATGTAATGGGGCGATGTACAAGGAGTGCTCCAGCTCCTCCAGGGTCATCATTCCTTTGGTTTATTACAGATAGAACAGATAGAATGCCTTCAGATTCCTTCCAACCAACCACTTTTCCTTTTTGTATATGCCCGGACGGGAAGTTAGAATGCCGAAGCACATATTTGAGACGGTGAACAAAAACGGGGCTCCTCGTTCGCTTTCCGTCTCTGGCTTTCTGAGAGGCAGTCGCCACGGGCGGTCACGAATCCCCGTGACACATAGCCATCAGCAAATGATACAGTCGTCAGTGTGTGCGGCAAACGGTACTGCTCGATTGGAGCACTGCCGGCGAGCTTTCCCTGGATCTCTGGTACCATTGCCGAGCAATCCTCATCAGACTTCACCAAGGACTCAGTAAACGGCCGACTCAGGCAACGCTCCACGCAATGCCTCACTTTTCGTAAGCTCAGACTCCGTGCCAATGGATCTACTTCTTCCCCCCTGCACTGGAGCGTTCGCTTCAGAGGCCTATACAACAAAGACCAAACCTGGTCAAAGTTTGAGACCAACCTGCCATGGACATTTCCGGTCGCTATCTGCTGTTGAACATAGGTCCTGACCCTCAGCATGCTTGGGTGATGAAATGGAAGGTGCCGCCCAGGCTTGCTGTTGCTGGTGGGCAAAAGCCCTGACTTCCTGCATATTCGCTCAGCAACTTTCCTTGCCAGTGCCAAAAGTCCAAGCATGCTGGAAACATCTGGAAACATATACTATCATGGACCAGCACTTAGAATATGACATCCTAAAATTTAGGAATCAAATTTCCTAGTCAACTACACAGATAGAATGCGTATTGAACAAGAACTTCCAAGATTCGCAAAGTTTCCTGAAGACTCTGTCAAATGAATCGGGCGCAAAGAGGCAATCCTTTGGGAAAACTCCTGCAAGTACTCATCGATGTCTTGAGAAGATGAGAATGACTTGTCCATTTGGCTCAGCAAACTTGACGGGTCACGTTCATGGAGCTCATGGATGACTGTGTTCCACTGCTCAATTGCAACCGCCAAGACCGACTTGACAAAGTGGTATGTCACCTCCTCTCCAAAGGATATGCGCTCTGCCTGAGTACGCGGGGGGGGGCATTCTATGTGATAATTCCAACACCCAACCCGCTATATATATATATATATATGCACCATTTTCTTGAGACAATCCTGGAAAAGCAATCCTTATATACAAATATGTGTATACATAAATATATATATATATATATAACCTGATTTAATTAACATGGAGTAAGCAGAATGGGAAGGGATGGGAAGGTGTTTGGGGTGTTTTCTGCCTACTCGCTCTCCAAAACACATGCCAAACACAGGGCAAGATGCAACACAATCGGCCACCACCCGTTCAAAGACTGCTGGCAATATGCAAGTCCCAGTCTCTTCACTGCCCTTGCCCTTGCGGAATGTGAACTTCTTGTCCATTTTCAGGATGTCTCTCATCACATTGGGCACCTCTTTCGCTTTCTTCATCAAGCGTGGACAAGTGGAGCAAAGTAGCGTCCATTGGTCCCTCACTCTTTGTTTCTTCCATTTGTAGATGCAGCACCTGTAAAACCCCTTCATTTCGCTGACAGCCTGGGCAGGATTCCTAACCGATCTATCTGCCACTGCCTTGTCGTAGGCTTTCATCCTCAGATTGCATCCAATGTAAACTATGGCAGGGTTGAGGCAGTCACCAAAAAAACCCGTATTTACACAAGCTTGAGACATTTGCATCAACATATTCAATCTTCTGGGACTTTGCACAGGAACCATCAATTTTCAATTTTCCTTGGACACCTTGTATTGTAACACTGGAAGCTAGCAGCTAGAATTAGAATGGGTGGTTGCGCAGATAGAATGCTACAAAACATCTGTCCAGCCAAAGCACAGCTGTTCCTTGTCCCACAGAGTGCTGCACTCTTTCTTGCCTTTGCTGAACTTGCGCATGTCTTTCCCAGGCTTCTTTCGCTGGTAAGGCTTTCTCTTTCTGTTGGCCCTGGCTTTCTTGAAGGTCACCAAAGGTTTGCCATACTCTGGAGCCTTTCTCTTTTTGGAAATGCGCTTGAGCACAACCTGGCCAGTGTGGCTGTGGTCCTTGTCTTCTATGGGACTCGGCGCTGACCCCGTGGAAGAAATCGTGTGCAAAGCACTTGGAGCGGCAGCAATGCCGGCAATCAAAACCACCTGGCAAACTGTGCTGCTGAACGAGTTTCCCATGAGGCTTTGCAGAAGGGTTTTGTTTTGAACTAGGTCTTGGTAGCAATCTTCCGGCATGGTGCTTGGAAAGAAGCCCTGCAGGTTCAGGAAGTCAACCTCTGACAAATACCTTTGAAGGCCAGTACAATAGACCGGGTGGCTGGGGCAAAGGCAAGGACAAACATGCGCTGCGTTGATGAGGCGATGCAGGGAAGTGGAGCAGTCAATGTAGACATTTTGACAACCAGCATGCTTTTCGAGAGCTTTTTCAACCAAAGTAGTCTCTCTGCCCTGCTTGGGTTCTTCCTTCTCAGCTTCTGGAAATAGCTGTTCTGGAGGGAAATGCCAATGTGAACTGCAAGCACTCAATAATCCGGCAAAGTCGCCCGACAGGTCATTGACATGACTCTCACCCGTGATGAGAGCGGCCATGCCCCACACGCGCTGTCTTCGT